GAGCTAAGGTGGTAACCTATGTAGTCTGGCTAGAGAAGCAGTCCTCCAAGTTCAGCAGGCAACAGAATCACATGGAGATTGTAATACACAGATGACTGGGTGCCACCTCCAGTTTCTGATTCTGTAGGTCTGAGATGGGCCCCCAAAATTTACCCTTGTAATAAGTTGCTGGTGACAGTAAATGCTAATGGTATAGAGGGACTACCTATTGGACATCTCTAGTATATAAATTCTGCATTCTTTTGCTTAAATCCACTTTTATTTTGATTGATACAACATTTGGGCATATTTATGAGTTACAGTGTGACCTTTCTGTGGTGTCAGAGTGAAATCCAGAGCACTGAGCACGCTACAGAAGTGCCCTACCATTGAGCTACATCTCGCCCCCAGTGCAATGTTTTGATTCACGCCCATAATAGCTATGTATCTATTCATGCACATAATAATATGTATCTATTCATGTACATAATAGCTATGTATCTATTCCTTGAACATTTATCATGTCTTATGGTGAAACCATTGAAAAGTCTTTCTTCTAGCTTTTCAAAATGCACAGTACATTATCATGGTGTAGTTCCCTTACTGAGCAACAACGTGCCAGAACTTACTCCTATCTGACTAGAACTTGATGCCACCCAAGACCAAACTTTCCTCACCCCCTTCTCATCCTCCAGTCTCTGGTAACCAGCATTTTACCCTCAACTTGATGTGAACAACTTTTTGTATTCCACACGAGTGAAATCATGCAGTGCTTGTCTTTCTGCACCTGGCTTATTTCACTTAATGTAACGTCCTCCAGGTCCATCTATGTTGTCACAAGTGTCAGGATTTCACATTGCACTCTCAGCCACCTTCCCATGCTACACAGGTCATTCCACTCTGCAATTCTCCCTCCCTCTTGAGCTTTAAGATAAAGCACAGATGCCTCCTTACAACATGCAGGGCATTTTGTGATCTGAACTTAGCTTTCTCACCTCATTTCCTTCTGAAAACCTCGATATGCCCTATGTGTCCACCTTCTAAAGTGATTTTTCCACTTTCCAGTGTGCTAGAATATACCAGAAACTCTCTCTGGCTTTTATCCGCATTCACTGCTCGTTTTCTCTAGGATGTTTGCACCCTTACACTCTCCACTCTCCAACATTTGACAAATTTGTATAGGACTCAGGTCAGTAATGACCATTTGCCACAGACTATGCAGAATCTTATTTCTGCCCCTACTCCAAGCTAAAGTGAGGCCCTTTCTTGGGGTTCCAGTTCCCTGGCTGGCCCTCTATCCTAGTCCGGTTCTCAATATAATATCATTTTCCATACTTCAGTTTCCCCATAACAATGCAGGCTCTTTCTTACCCATCTCAGTATCCCCAGTGCCTTGACACTTGGTAAATACTTGTCAAAGGAGTGTGTAAGGTTGCTAGCTGAGGTACATTTCAAAAACACAAATTACAATATTAAAAGGTACTTGGTGACTGAGGCAGGAGGATTGCAAGTTCAAAACCAGACTAGATAACTCAGTGACACCCTGTGTCCAAAAAGGGACATGGCATAGATCAGTGGTAGAGCGCTTTCTCTAGCTTGTATAGTGTTATGGGTTCAACCTCCACTACTTAAAAACAAAAATAAAAAGTGCTTTGTGAAAATGTGGACTCAGAAAAAGCAAGTTGCCTTTTGCTCTGGGCTGCCAGGAGGACGGTGAACACAGGAACATTCTTAGTCTCGCTGACTTCTTTGCCTTCCCACGGTCTCTCCCTCCTCCCACGTCAGACGCTCTCCCCACGGTCTTCAGCCTACTTTTGCAGTTTTTCTGTCCCGGGCCCTGCTTACCAACAGACTGCCATGAAGGTTGCCCTCTTTGCTGTGGAGACAAAGCCTCCTTCACACAGGCACCCCTGGCTGGCCACATTCCAGAAGTGTGACAACTCTACTTTGCAGGACTTGGTCCTCAAACCTCAAAAGTGGAAAAGTTTGGGAATGGGAGCAGTCTAGAATTACCTTTTCTGGGTAATGTGGATTTCAATTCTCCTTCTGGGCTGCGACTTATCCTCCTTAGTGGAAGTTTTTAAGCCTCTTAGAAAAAGTAGAATGAGATCTCTTATGCCAAATAAATTTCTAATTTTTTCTCCTTCTGAGATAATGAGTGCTGATTGGCCTTATGATTTATGAGTTTTATGAATAGAGATTGCTGAGCTTAGATCTAAGAAGCATCAAGACAAGCTTGATATTTATAACTTCCTCCAAAGACTGGCCTCAAATTTCATCAAAAGATCTGTGGGGCAGCCAAGGCAAACAGTAGGGGGAGTTATACTTTGTAAACTGAAGCTGTGAGCTAGGATCAACCACCTCTGGAGAAGTTCAAACAGAATGTCACTAAGCAAAAAAAATACTATTACAACAAGTGACAACAACAGCAAACCTTGGAGAGGAAGGAGAATCTGATTTTCAGCACTGCTACATACGATATTCAAAATGTCCAATCTTCAGCACAACAGTTATGACATTTGCAAAGAAATAGCCCAAATACAGAGAAAAACCCAATGAATAGAAACTGCCTCAAGGAAGCTTCCTTGTTGAACTTTTCGGGTAGATATAAATTGGCTACTTGAAATATGTTCAAAAAGTTAAAGGAAACTATGGCTAAGAACTAAAGGAAAGTGAGAGTGATATCTCAATAAATGGAGAATATAAACTGAAATTATTTAAAAACATAAAACTTGTTGGGAATGTTGGCATATGCCTGGACTCCCAGCACTAGTAAAGCTGAGGCAGGAGGATTGCTGCAAGTTCGAGGCCAGCCTGGGCTACATGGTGAGCTCAAGGCCAGCTTGAACTATACAGCAAGACCTTGCCTCCAAAAAAAAAAAAAAAATCTGGAGTTGAAAATATAACTGAAATATTTACTGGAGAGTTTCAATGGCAGATTTAAAGAGATGTAAGGACAGAGTGGGCAAACTTGAAGACTGCTATAATCTGCTGTGAGAAACAAAGAAAAAACACAGAGAAATGATCAGACTCCTCCAAAGATCGGTGGGACAATCATCTAGCATATCAACATACACTTAATGGGTATCTCAGAGGTGAAAGAAAAAAGTAGAAAGAATATTAAAAATAATAGCCACATTTGATTTAAAATATTAATTTACACATCCAAGAAGTTTAACCAACTCCATGTAAGATAAACTCAACAAGATCCACTTCCAGGCACAATAAAATCAAACTGTTGCAAGCCAAAAGCAAAAAGAATCTCCTAAGAAGAGACACTGAAGTGACCCTCACATGCAGGGGGTCCTTGATAAGATTAACAGTAAATTTCTCACCAGCAACCATGGGCCTGGGGTGTGGCTTATTGTAGAGCTCCTGTCTACTTTGCACAAGGTTCTGGGCTCAATTCCTTGATCACAAAGAAAAAAAAATACACACACATACACAAAGGTTAGGAGACAGGCAAAGATGTATTCAAAGTACTGAAAAGAAAAATGAGTCAACCAAGAATTCTCCTTGGAAAACTGAGCATGGTGGTGCATGCCTATAATCCCAGCACTTGGGAGGCTGAGGTGGGAGGACCATTGCAAGTGTGAGACCAGCCTGGGCTACAAAGTGAGCTCAAGGCCAGCCTGAACTAAAAAAAAAAAAAAAAAAGAATTTCCTTTGCAAAACAATTCTCCAAAAATGAAAGAGAAATGAAGTATTTCCAGGTTAAAAAAATGAGGGTGTATGTTGCTGGGGCATCCACACTACATGAAATGTTAAAGTGGATCCCTAAGGCTAAGACAAAAAAGCAGTAGACAGTAACTTCAATGTGCATGAAAAAATAAAGAAATACCACTCATAAGTGTGAATCTAAAGGTAAATGTATTTTTATAACTACTTTTTTTTCTATGTGGTAAAAAGAGGTGACTTTGTAAAGCAATGCTTATAAAACTAATTAATGTAACACATTAGTGATCGAGTACATGGAGAAAGAATTATGATGCCCATTTTACAGGTGAGCAAACCAAGGCATGAAGAGGTTTTGTGTCTTGCCCAAGGACACACCACAGTCAAGGAGGCAGGGAGAAGGACTTAACATATGACTGCTTGATTGCAGAGCCCAGGAGTTTAAACTCCTTGCTGTTCTTTGTAAGAAAGAGCCTGGGTTCTGTGCACATGGCTTACAGATGAGGCTCATGGGAGGAGGCTTAAGCTATCCTGCCAGAGAGGCTCCTCCAGAACAGCTCCTCCTTTGGGGATTTCTGCTGTGCCTCCCACAGTGCCCGCAGCTCAAGGCTGGGCACACAGCACATGCTCAACAATCTAATTGTACCGAGTTTCCCCCCAAATGACCTCTGTAGTTCAGGCACGTGAAGGAGAGGATGTGTTTAGCGAGGAAACAGTAAGACTGGATGGTAATTCCCTAAGCGCCTCTCACCCTGCCAGGCACTCTGCTAAGTGACTACATGGGATCCAGTTCTCTAAATTCATGCCTGCAAGAATGGGCGAGTTAGGTATTGTAAGCATCCTGCTTTACTGGACTAGGAAACTGAGGCACCAAGCATCTAGTAAGTTACACAAAATCTTAGAGCTAGTAAGTGACAAAAGTGGAATGTGACCCCAGACAGTCTGGCTCCAGAGTCTGTGCCCTTTCCACCCAACCGTGTCAGGGGCGGTGAGACTTTCCCAGCTATAGGTGCTGGTTTCCAAGTGACAGCGCTGAGGATGGTTTCCGGAGTGCCCCAAAGGTGCCTTCTCCCGGTATCTTTTTATTAACCCCCCCAATTGCTGGCTGATGTTTGAGTTTTTCAATTAGAAATGTGTCCCTTTGTCTTAAGACTCCTGATTCCTGAAATGGAGGCCTAAAATAGAGCATACAAGCTACTGCGACATTCTTTCCAGAAAGATGATTTTATTGTGCACACAGCCAGTGGAAGATGCAGTGCCGTGGGGGGGACACGAGAGCATGGAGGCCTGGAGGCTTCCCGGAAGAGAAAGGAACGAATTAGAGAGCTGCAATAGACAAACCTTACCGTTTTGGAGAGGGCCAGCCTTTGTCAAATGCCAGTCACCGCTCTGGAAACTCATCCTCGCAGCCAGCATTGAGTTTCTGAGAGCCTGCAGGAGCCTTCGGAGCAAGGTTCCCTGGGACGACTGAAAGCCCCAGAGTTGTCTGTTTATCCTTGAATTCACTCAGCCAGCTACGGGTTACTACTCAGCACACACTCCTCTAATTGTCAATCCTGTAGTTGCTACCTGGGAAACAACTCCCATCAGACTGTAAAGTGACAACCAGGGGACCAGGAAAGGGAGGAGCAGCTTAGGGAGTGGAGGTCGCTGAGAGCTCCTCTTTGCCAGCAGCTGAAGGGTGCAGCAATGGGGGCCGAGCTCCTGCCTGAGCTTGGCTCTGCCCTTGATGGCTGCGTGGCCTTGAGCAAGTCTTTCTGGCTGTTGCTCTCCTCTCCCCGGGCTTAGCTTGCTGCTAGCGCCTTCCTCTGCACCTCTCCTCTGAGCTACAAAACTGCTGTCCCAGGCAGGGCCTAGATCCCCTCCAGATTCCCTCCAGACACCATGCACAAGAGCAATATTCCAGGCCAGGCCAGGCCTGGTGGCCCACATCTGTAATCCCAGAACTAGGGTGTGGTGGGGTGGGGGCCACAGAAGCATGAGGATTGTGAGTTCAAGATCAGCCTGGACTACGGAGCAAGATACAGTCTCAGAAACAAACAAACAAAATAACTGAAAACCAAAAGAAAAAAAAAACCAAAAAAACCATGATTTTTCACATTTGTCTATAAAACAATAAATATTTCTATAGCCTGACTTGAAAATCTATGCTCTGGGTTAGTCTCTATTTTAATTCCAGGGCCTCTACTTCAAGATTAATGTGCCTGAGCCTCACTTTGTTTATCTAAAAATGGGGATATAATTAGACCTACTTATCATACGAGGACTTAGCACTAGCACTGAGGCTTAATATAAAATGCCCAACTTTTAAAAGTTAGTCAATGAGCAGTGTCTGGATTTGATTTCCATTTTGTGTCAACGAACCATTGGTCCTATTCTCTGTTTTTGAGACATTTAAAAATCAAAGAGAAGCCGACTGGCACTTTAGAAACACTGGGTGAAGACTGCAAGCTACCTGAAGACACTGTAGGAATTTTAGCAGCAGGAAAGAATTTTGGGCACCAGGAAAGCAGGGTGGGCATGGGGGACAAGGCTTCCCAATGCCCCAGAGTACCCCCAGACTGACTGTGCCGTCTTCATTCACATGGTGCTAAGTCCCCTGCTCCCCCCTGGCAGTGTCCTCTATGGAGAATCAGTTCAAAAATATCTGCCCTGTGAGCGCTCATCCCAACACAGTAGCTTCCATCCAGGGGAGCTTTTGGCCTCCTGAGACTCCTATTAATATGCAAGAATGCCTGCAAACCATGCCCTGGGATCTTATCAGAAACTCCCAACTTGCAGTGTAGCCCTTAGCAGAGCTTAACAGAGTGGGGAACAGAACCAGGACAGGAACTAGATAGACGGCCGGCTTCCAGCAGGAAGGAGGGTGGTGTTCATGTAGTTGGGCATGGGGTGGGAGGAATACGACTCAAACCCAGTCTCTCTGCATACAGCCCTGCCTGAAGCTGCAGACAAAAAACGAAATCCTGTACCTGAGCAGCCCCAGTCTGGACCATCGAGTCAAACCTACTGGGCTCATGGGTGCAGAGGAGGTTGGTATACATAATGGGTCATTTCAAAAAGAGATATAGTTTTAAGACTGCCCAGCCAGTACAGTAGCATGGAGCTAAGAGCTATACTAGGGTTGCCAAGCCTCAGGGCTGCCAGATCTGCTTTAATGACAAGATAAGAACCATTTATAATTAACACATTTGGTCTATACACGGGCTCCTCTCCACTCCTAGGTAACAGTCCCTTCCCAGGGATGTGAGGAGCTCAAAGGCACAATGCACGATCCATTTTTCAGCCCAATCTCAAAGAAAACCCAAGTTTTAAGAGGCCCACCCCCATGCATGCTCTCAAATGCTAACGTAGGGTCCTCCACAGCAGTGACTGAGGTTGCCTGTTGTCACATTATCAAAAAGCAGGACTAAGTGGGAGGAGAAACCTTGATCTTTGTCAAAATGAAACACTAGCACCCTGAGTCACGCACGGTCCCAACCTTGATCATCTGCTAAGCATATGTACAATGTCACCAAGCATCACCTGAACACATTCTTTTTGTAGGCACCAGGTGGGGAGTGGGAGGTAGTCGGAGGCCACGATATCACTTAGTGGTTCCTTCTAACCTCATCGTTAGGAAAAGACACTCTGAGCAAGCTGGAAGCAGAGATGCACAAGGGGGCACCATTGCTGCTCCCCAATACTGCTGGGAATAGGCACACATTTCTGTTTCTCCAGAAAAAAGGGAATAATAAACAGCAAGAGTCCTATTGCATGCCCCTGCCATGGTACACACACACAGACACGCACGCGTGCGCACACACACACACACACACACACACTCCATAAACAAATCTTTTGTTGAATTCTGAGGGAGAAAGTGAGAAATTACAAAAGAAGCGGTGGGCCGGGGATTTAGCTCAGCGGCATAAACGCCTGCCTGGTAAGTGCGAGGTCGTGAGCTTGATCCCCGGTACCAAAAAATAAAATAATAAAATAAAAATAAATAAATAAATAAATAAAAATTAATAAAATAATATAAAATAAAAAGAAGAGCCCACGAAGCCACTTTAGGTCACTGCAGGGGGCTTCTCGCCCTCCCTTGAAGGAGCCAGCTCCGAGTGATGCAGACCAGAGCCCCGCTCACGGAGTCTTAGTTCTCATCCCAGATATAAAGCAGAGAACTTCCAGGACTCAAGGTGAGAGCAGCTCTGCTCTTTGGAGGAAATCACTGTAGGCTCAAAAGGTTGGGCTAGGGGATGTGGGCGATCTGTAATTACAGGGGAAAGACCCTCTCAGGACAAGCTCCAAAGCCTGCTTGCTCTGGGCTTGGAGTAGCAGCCAGAGAGACTCACCTTTCTCCTTCAGACTTTTCCACCAGTCGTTGGTCGGTCAAGCTTTCGTGGTCCTCTGGAAGAGCAGAGAGAGTCAGAGACCAGGAGGGTGTGCTCGCCAGCAATATGTAGCTGAAGCCCCAGTCAGGGCAATACTGAGCGCTGGGTGGGCTGGGTGGGCTGGGATATATGGGGCTGTTTCCTCAGGGAACTGGCTATGTGAAAGGATGGAGAGGCTTACACTTATCAAAGGGCAAGAAGATTCCAGAAGAAGCAAAAGGATGGAGAGGCTTACCCTCATCAAAGGGCAAGAAGATTCCAGAAGAAGCAAAGGGATGGAGAGGCTTACACTTATCAGAGGGCAAAAAGATTCCAGAAGCAAAAAAACTTAAAGGCAAACATAAGCCTGGTGGGGGGAGGGGGCTGCTGGGGAGGAGAATGAGGGTGGCTTTGAACAGAGGACCTGAGGTCTGGGAGAGTGTCAGGCGAGGGAAAAAACCAGATTGCACTTATCAGATACCGTAGGCTATTGGCATGACAGTGTTTACTGCCCTTCCCTTGGGAAAAAAACATTTGCAGACCTCCGTGATTTTACGTGCTGCAAGCTCCAGCACAATGTCTGTTTAGTGGACTCATCTTTGCAGAATAAATCTCTTGCTTTCAAAGCTCTGTTTGGGTCCTAGGAAACCTGGTTAAGTTCTTTCCCAGATAAAATACAATAAACTAGGGGGTCTGGATCTGACATTTCATGAGGAAAGCAGAGAGGGCTGTGCCTGGCTCCACCTTGGCTGGGAGGGTGACATTTCAGACACAGTCCCCATTTGCAGTCCAGGCTCATTTCCACTGAAGAGTTGAGAGCCTTCTTGAACATGTTGAGCTAAAGGTTGAGAGTAAATCCTTGGTATGGTTTTATTTTTTGTTTCAGACTCCATCCAGGACAGCCTTCCCACACTCTGCCCGGTGGTAACGACCCAGGCTTGACCCAAAGGCAAATCTAGTCTGTTTCTAGATAACTGGGAGTGCCAGTAAAGCACAGGACTCAGGGACTCCCCAGAGCTTGGCACACCCAGTGCTCTGTTTATCTGCTCTTGAGGACCCGAGGGGTTAAAATGCAGGCTGAGCCCCCTTATTACACAGCTGCAGAGGGGCCAGCATGCCTGATCTGCCTCTGGTCGCTGGCATACAGGGGCCTCATTCACAATTCACTGCCTTCTCAGGGGCATTGCCTCTTACAAACTGCTCTTCCTGGGGCCTCTTTCTAACAAGTTGCTACTGCTAACAGTCAGGCTGCTCTAATCTTACAGATAGGCCTCAGCCTGCCCCCCTCAGCACACTTTTAAGGCATGGAGTTTTTTCCTCTCTCTCTTTCTCTCTCTCTCTCTCTCCCTCTTTCCTTCTCTTTTCCCCTCTCTCTCCCTCTTTCTCTTTTTATCATCATCAAAATATATTCACAAAACACCCACATCTCTGTCCACACTATAAATCAGGGTGGGGAACCTCTGGCCCACAGCCCAGATCTGGCCCTCAGCTTGATTCATCTGGCATGTGGGGGATACTGTACTGGCTGCCACAGCTGCAACCCAGAGAATAATGCCTCCCTCCCGCCCTCCTACTCCCTGGACTGCTGGGGCCATCCCATTCCAAATGGAGCCTCGAGATAGCCAGACTCCAGTGGAGGGGGTGGTTCCCGTGGCTCCTTCAGATGCTGTTAAACAGGAAACGGGATGACAAAGCCAAAGAGGTGATTTTATAATGAGAAAAGTCAATATTTAGTGACCACTTCACTGATGTCTAGGACTGGGCTGAGAAAGTATATGACTGGCATTTTCTCTTTTAACCTCCCCAACACTCTTACACTAGGAATTCTTGTTTCCATCTGCAGGGTAGGAAGTGGAGGCGCAGGAACTTGCGTAGCCTCACAACTAGTAAGCGGCCCAGCTGGGAATCAAGTTGAGACGCAGCTCACATGAGCGCCTCTGTAGCCTGCCCCCAAGGCCTGTCGAACAGCTTTGAGGGGCTTGCTTTCATGATTTTTGAGTCATATCTTTTCTATATCCCTATACTACATGTAATAACCATATGGTAGCTCTGTGGTGCATGCAAATTTGACTTGAGTTGCTTAATTGTGGCAACCTATGCTCTAAAAACTTGTGGGGAAAAAACCCCACTCAACTAAAGGGTGAATTTTAAAGTGCAGTGAAAGTCTTCTGAAGTTCAGAGCTCAAAGAAGTAAAAAAATCACTAGGCGATTTTTCCACAATGATTCCCCTCCCCAATTTGCCTCTGTAGGTCTTAACCAATAAGGGAAGAGAAGGAGACAGACCCGAAAAGAGAGAGACAGAGAAAGACCAATCAAGTCTCAATCTCATTCACCAAAAGACCTCTTAAAATCCTCCGACA